TTTCCGTTTTTTCTCAATCTTCCTCGTCCATCCATCCCCTCGAGAACAAACACAAACTCCCCTCATATCCACCCTCCATCTCTCCACGTCATCGATCCGCGTCCTCATCAATCCAACGGCTCACACCCCTCCAATAAAAAACGGCCTAACAACCCCACCCTCTTAACCCTAGTCACGAAACACAAACCCATAGGCCCGCACCACCCCCACTCCCCAATTCAGGCTTATCCCGAGTCGCCCCAGCCCACCCACGCCCGGCTCAACCAATAAGAAACAGGGCGATATTAAAGCGACGGAGAGAAAGAAACACGACGACAAAGGGAAGAGGGAAAACTAGGCGTTTCTTCTTTATTTCTCCATTCTCATCTTCAAGCTCCCACCTTTGAAGAAAACTGGATTCAACATCTGGAAAAATTTAGGTTTTCACTCTCTGTGTCTTCAAATCCAGATTTAGGGTTAGGGTTTCTTTGTTGATTTCTCTCCACTTATTTCCTCGGAATGACACTCTTCTCTAGCTTTCCCCCTTTGAATCTTCGCAAATTGGTTTAAATCCGGTAATAACATCAGTTATTTGGTTGTTTGTATTTATCTGATCGGGAGATAGACAGAAGGTTTCGTTTTTGATGGATGAGATTTGGGAGAGAGCGGTGGAGACAGCTTTGAACGGGCAGAAGGATTACGCTGCAACTCGGACCTTGACGTTAGACGGGGCGGTGAAGGCCGTGCCGGGGAGGCTTCCTCCACCAAGCCTTCTAGAGAAATTTGAGAACCTTCAGCATCTGTCAATAGCTAACAACGGAGTTCCTTCTCTGGAGCATTTTCCGCGTCTTCGGAATCTGCAGAAACTCATCCTCTCCGACAATCGGATAGGTGGTGGCCTTGAGTACCTTGTTGAAGCTGGGCTCGAATCGCTTCGGGACCTTGACTTGTCCAACAATCGAATTCAGTGTATCGAGGATCTTGCACCGCTTGCTCAGTTGAAACTTGTATCACTTGATCTTTACGAGTGTCCGGTGACAAAAGTGACGGATTATCGATCTAGGGTTTTTGGGTTGATCAAATCTCTTAAGTATTTGGATAATATGGATGCCGATGAGAACGAGAGACCGGATTCAGATGAGGAGGAGGAGGATGAAGAGGATGAGGACGAGGATGATGAGGATACTCGAAACGAGGAAATTGAGGGTGAGGACAGACGGTACAAATTGAATAATGGTCACAGTGAGGCGGGTGAAGGGATTATCGAGGTTAATGACGACGAAGAGAGTGATACAGATGAGGAGGAGATGGAGGCAAGTAGACAGAGAAACGGGTATGGGCATGAAGCAAATGGGTTTCGGGTAGAGGGAGTCAGAGAGGATGGGGGTGAGGATGGGGGTGAGGATGAGGATGAGGAGGATTATGATTCAGGTGAGGAAGTGGATGATGACGACGATGATGTTGTTGAGGTGCATGAGATTGAGGACAGTGATGATGAAGATGAAGAGGATGAGGATGAGGAAGAGGTGGACAATGATGAGGGCGATTTTGCTGGGCAGGAGATTAATGGGCTGTTAACAAGCACGGAAGGGGAGATTGATGGACATGAGCAGGGGGAAGATGATGGAGATGATGATGATATTGGAGAGACTGGAGAGGAAGAGCAGGGTGTTGATGACGGGGAGTTTGAAGATGAAGAAGTGGGTGATGAGGAGGTAAAATCCCAAATTACTTGCAGAAAAATCGTATCTTTTGCTTTAATGATTTTAATCTAATTGATGCGTGTCTATTTTTACTCTCTGCATCCTGTTTTTGTGTCTTTTAACCTGGTTTGAGTGTTTGGTCTTTAAAAAAGGTACTTTTAGACTTACCAAGACGAGACTCGAGAGGAGAAAGGACTATGCTTTATGCTGACTGCTAATTTAGTGTTTGCAGATATGAGCTTTGCAGATCTATTTTAATTTTGCTGGGGGGTTATTGATCTGTTTAAGTGTTATTAAAAAGTTTAACAAGTTCTGTTTGGTTTCATGTTACTAGTAGTCTAGAACTCGATATGAAATTACTGCTTTTATTTTAACCTTTTAACATGGACATTGTTGAAGGTTAAGGATTCCATAACTGAACTGATGTAACTGTTAAATGTAAAACATCTTTATAGTATTTTTTTAGTTTTGTATTTTTGTACATAAAAGGAGATAATTAATTTGTAGCTTTTTGGCTTGCTTTGCTTGCATGCTCATTAGTTATACACATAGTTCTGACAATATTTTTTTGCTCATTTGTGAAAGGCTTTACATTTTGAACAAGAGCTGAGATTAATTAAAAAGTAAAGCTTTCCAATTTTTCAACATCTTTAAAAATTGTACTTTTATTGCTTTTCACCTTATCATGTCTTCCTTGTAAATTGATCTTTATTGGTATTTATTCTTCATCGTTGTGCATGATCCAGAGCATAAAAGTTATTGAAGTCCTGTGTCTTAATCTCTTCCTAAGCAGTGTCGTCCTCTGCAGGTTACTTAATATCTTTTTTTCTGAAGAATCCTAAAATGAGATTTGTGGTCTAAAATGTTTGCTTTTTACTGTTGACTTGTTGGTCCTTGTTCCATGAATTTCTGTTAAAGTGTTACAATGAAGGTTGTTGGTCCTTGTTCCATGAGTTGCCCATTATGGTGTTACAATGAAGTTTGTTGGTCCTTGTTGCATGAATTGCCATTGAAGCGTTACAATGAAGTTGGAAAGTACTTCTTGCGGTGGCTGCTTGCTTAATTAATATTGTTGATAAGTACTTCTTGCAGTGGCTGCTTGCTTAATTAATATTGTTGATAAATACTTCTTGCAGTGGCTGTCTGCTTATTTAATATAGTACTCTGTTGTACCAGCATTTATCCCTACTTGAAGGGAACAGGGATCTCATTGGAATTCAATTTATCTTTGGCATTCTATTTTTACATTGTTAATGTTTGTGGGTGTTTGCGTGTTACCTTGTGGGGATGGAGGCATGGAGCAGTGTTTAGTTTTAGGTTGTTGATAGTCACTTATTCTGTAATTTGGAAGATGGTACTTTTAAAAATATTGATTCTTATGTTACAATGTTTAAGCACATGAATTCTAGAGGAAAACATTTCTTGCTTCATTATTAGGATTTCCCTACAGGTTTATTTTATTGTTTTCATCATTTATTAGCTTTCTGAGACTTTTTCCGATACCAGAAAGAATGTTTGTTCTTTGGTCGGAATTTCTCTTTTTCTTTTTTTTAATTGATGACCTGGAGAGTTTTGAGTAGTATGATGGTTTTGGTCTTTGTTTGCATGTTTTTGTTCAAAATTTATATTTCTCACTATCTCTGTATTCTTTTTCATTGGAATATAGATCTCTTTTTATTGGTTTTCATTTTGCTGATTGTTTCCTCATGGAATTGCAGGATGATGATGATGGTGAAGGGTACCTGATTCAACCTGGGAGACAGACCGAAGAACTTTATGCTGGAGGTATTGATATGGATTCAGGGAATGAAGAAGATGATACAGAGGAGGAAGAAGTTGAAGAAGTTGATGACGAGGATGATGATGTTCAGGTTCCTCCATCTTCCTCACATCTTAAGAGAAAGAGAGGTGACAAAGATGATGAGGATGAAGATGGGGAGGACGAGGATGAAGACGAAGATGTTGTTGATTACAGCAAATCATCCAAGAAGCATTGCTAGCTGGTTTTGATCTCATAACTTAAGTCGTTTTTCTTAATGCTCAAAGTTTGGAAACAGGGGGAACAACTTCATGGTAGTAATGTTTATTGAACAAGCTCTAGCTTTAGGTGAAAGGAATTGTATATTAGTTGAAGAAGTAGTTAGTGTTTTCTCCCGCTTTTTTCTTTGTTATATAGCCGTTGCTCTCTGTTAATTCAAATGACAGTTGCAAAGGGTTTACCGCCCTTGTTATGCTCTCTCAGGTCAGGGGTCTTGTTTCTCTATAGGGGGGGAAATAGAATGGAGGGAAAAGAGGGCCTCATAAATCTTCCTTTAAAAAAAAGGGGGGGTGTGGATGGATAAGTTGTAAAACGCTTGTTGGTAGTTTTCATCAGCCATCGTACATTCTCATTGCCATCAAATCAGATGAACTTTGTTTTCGAGGATTTGGTCCAAACACTTGGCTACTTGTGATTGGTTGAATGCTCTATATATCAAAAACCATCGTCCAGGCAACTGGCGTTGGGGCTCTAGGTTTTTGGTTTTACGGTTTCGCCCCTGGTCGTTTAATATCTGTTGAATGGTGGTTGGCAGATGGTCTTTTTTCATAAATATCTTCTGAATTGGTAAAAGTGTTTTTTAATCTTTTGGTTCGGTTGAATGGCCAAACGGTTGAGCACCGTGGAATTGAAGAACTTTCTTTCTCCTGGGAATGGAAGTGTCAAGGACGTTTTAAAATTTCTTTAATTAGAGATTAAGATGAGTTCCTTATATAGTCCAAATTTTATATTAAAAAAAAGGAGGCAATTTAGGTTATAAAAGTACAAGTATTAAAATATATTTAATTCATTTTATTTATTAAAAATATTAAATATTTTTATAAGCTGTTTGCATATAATTTAAGTTTTTTTAAAAATATTTCAGTTAATATATAAATAGATTTTTTTTAGTATGATAAATGATAAATTATATAATAAAAAAATTTTAATAATTGAAATATCCCTTAAGTAGATCATTATTTTTTTTAACATAAAAAAATATAAGAGAATAAGAGTTTTTTTTCAAGTAATTAATAAAAGTGGAACTCCCCATCAATTCAACCCAAGCATTAAGATAATAAGATTGGAAAACTAACTACTAAACTAAAAAGGTTTGGTTCGAAATATAAGTAAAATGTTAAAGCTGAATGAAAAATTAAAAGAAATAAAAAATAAAAATAAACATATAATGGTTGATACTTGATAGACTTTTATTCCTGACTCCAAACACCGTGTACTGTTTCAATTTTCAAGCCGCAAGTCAAGGTGGGTCTTACCTCCATCCCCAGTTGATGGAGCAAGGCTGTTGAGGGAGCAAGGCCCCTAACAGAATAAAAAATATATATACTAACAGCACTTTATTGTAAGGGGGGGGGTGAAAAGTCAGATGTACTTACATTTTAAATTTTAAATTTTAAGTGTTTAAATTTTTTAATGTAAAATTTAAAATATTTTTAATAAATTTTTTAATGTTTTGCTTAGTCTTTTATTTTATTTTATTATTTTTTATATTTTAATTCCCTTTTCACTCACCGTTCTTCTTATTCAGCTATTTAATTTTATCAATTACGTACAAATTATGTAGTTAACTGCGACCGAGACAATTCCCTGTATTGTGTTTGCTTCGATTTTTTCAGTCATTTTTTCCCTCTGTTTTGTTGTTGCTATAGACTTATAGAGTGTGTCAATGTGTTAGCTGTAAGATGATAATTTCGAATGTAACCCCAGTTTTTTTTTTTTATACATATGATAATGATAATGATGGGTGATACAATAAGAATAGTCACTTTCTTCCCTTAAATTCATCATCATCTGACTTGATTTATTTTTAATTTGAAATCTCAAACTTTTAATCATTAAATCAACTCTTCATAATGTAACCCCAGTGTTTGGTTGCTAACAAAAACAAGGAAACGAGAGGGAAAGTTGATTTCTTTAGGACATTCTTTGATCACCCAGTGTTTGGTTGTTAAGAAAACACGGAAAGCAGAGGGAAAGTTGATTTCTTTGGGACATTCTTTGATCACACAGTGTTTAGTCGCTGACAAAGCACGGAAAACAGAAGAAAAGTTGATTATTTTATGGCATTCTTGATCAAACAAACACTCGGAGGCTTATGCGTTTTGATATTAATGATGGTTTTTATATTTATTTTTACTTTTCGTGTTCAAAATTGTGAAATTAGGATTTCTTTTTGAAGTCTCATGACAGTAATCAGTAAAGCAACTGAATTTGATTTTTTTTTTTTCTGAAATTTTTTTTATTGATTATTTTTTTGTTTCCTGAAGTTTGATATTATGGTTTGAAGTTTGTTTGGCTTTTTACTGAAACAACTAACAAGCTTTTCTCTTAGAAAGTAAAGGGTTTTTTTTTTTTTTAATGACAAAGGGGTGAATTCTTTATTTGCATAAAGTGATTACTACAACAATAAGGAAATTGTCTGAATCTCGAGTAGGTCTGCTGCTTGTTTGCTTTTGATTATGCTGTTAATTACCTGGATGTTGCTATGGTGCATAATGTCATTCATAAACTAAGACGACGAGATCCTAAAGCGTTTTCTGTAATTTTCCTTTTCCCTTTCTGTTTAGGATTCATTATACTATGTTATCTTTTATGTTGATTCTTGATGAGGACACATGTTATTATTCCTGTTAGCATTAGAACTCTCTTTTCTGATAATTGCTTTATTTTCTTGTTTTCCTATTTTCTTTAGGACTATGTTAGTATGTTTTAGTTATTTTAGGACTTTGTTTTCATTGTTTTACTTGCCTATTAATTTCTATTAGGATTTTATTATAAGACTACTATATAAACACACAAGTTTTCTCACTAATAAATCCTTGAACCATTCATAGAATTTTCAATTTTCTCTTGTTTCTACAGTCTTGATACTGAGTTTGTCTTCTTTAAGTCTAAACGTGTTTTAGGCTTGTTTATTAACCACATTCTTCCTTGCATCAGTTCTAGCAAGTTTTGGTGTCTTGCTGCAGTCAGATGGATAGAGGAAAGAAACCCAGTACCCTCTTCACGAAAAACAGCAAGATTTACATGGACCTGAAAGATATAATAAGGGAGAATGCGCTTCCTTTCCTTCCAGCTAAATCGCTTCATCGGTGCAGAGGAGTTTGTCGAGACTGGAAGTTGACGATCTCTAGTCCTTTCTTTGCTCACACTCAGTCAAACACTTTCAATGGTATCTCAGGCTTTTTCTGTCAATTGGCATCAGGCGTGCCATCATTTGTATCTCTTGATCCGATGGCTTATGGTGTGCCAGATCCATCATTAAACTTTCTTCCCGAACCTGTTGATATTAGGGCTTCTTCAAATGGACTACTTTGCTGCCGGGGTCGCACTGGAAACAAGGCCTATTACATTTGCAATCCTGTTACCAAGCAGTGGAAAAAACTTCCACAACCAGAAGCTGATCATGGGGCTGACCCTGCTTTAGTGCTTATCTTTGAACCATCATTGCTGAACTTCATTGCTCAGTATAAATTGGTCTGTGCCTTTCCTTCTGAACTTGATGGAATTGAGTTTGAGATCTATTCATCTGAAAAGGGATCATGGAGAATTTTTGGTGACATTTGCTTTGGTGATGCAAAACTTCTTCCAACATCAGGTGTTTATGTGAAGGGCACTATTTATTGGCGGGCTAGTCGTGGAATTATTTCACTGGATCTTGCTACGGAGCGTTCTAAAATCCTCTCCCGTGAACTTGGGACCTTGGGTGTGATAAGCAAAAGGCTTTGTACAGCCTACTTACATGCCAGTCAAAAGTTAGATGTGTCTGTGCTGTCTAATACTTACTCAAACACGATGCAAATGAACAGCCAAGCCAAGACATGGATAGCATTGAAACCTAATATTAATCCAAATCTTCCGGCAACTCTGGCTCCAAGAGATGCTTATTACAGTGGTGCACGCTATTATTACTCTGCCCAAAGTTATGAAGTTTGGGATGGTGTAGTATTTGTTCGTGAAAATCTTGTGTTAATTAGGATTGAGAATACCCTTTATTCATATGACCTGAAGAAGGAGACCACTGCAACTTTGGGCGAAGTTGAAAGCAGAGCAAGGATTTTTGCTTACGTGAATAGCCTTGTTGAGCTCTAGATAGTTTCTCTTATCTCGCAATACTGTGTAGTCAAGAAAACAACACCACCTTGTTTTTTGTATGTGCTTATTTAGGGCTTTTATATTTTCAAGTAATAACTCATTGCCAATTTGGAGATTCTAATGTCTAAACGTTGGCTTTATCTTAATATTGGATTTAGTTTTTTTCTTTTTTCATTTTTTTTTATAATACCATTGGGGTTTTATATTTGATGGTGTGTGATGCTTTAATTTTTGTTACAAGTGTGAAGACAAGCGTCCATTATGGAGAAAGGAGAGATAAAAGTTGAGATTTTGAAACTCGAGTCCTCCTGAAACCAAGTAACAGGTTTTCCACAGGTTTGAGTTTGGCATAGGCCAAACCCCAGCCACAGCCAAGAAATAGTAAAACCAATAACTGACTCAAAACCAATCTGGGGCAAGGCAGACAGAGGAACAAAGGTTAGAGGCAAAAGAGAGAATCCTACTTTCTAGGAGGCCTCTAGGGGATCGAAACAGAGTCCCCCCCTTCTAGAATGGCATTTTCACCATGCAAGACCTGTTCTCTCTCTTTCCATTGAGGACCCTTCCATCTTCTTCATCCAGGTACCCTTTTCCCTATGCAACACTATTGATCATTCTATGTCTTTTAATCATAGAATTTAATAAAACTTGTCCATCAATTCCACTGCACGAGTATAGAACATGTAAAACCTCAATTTGGTTCCTATGTTAATGTATTTATCAATGGCTTTTTCCTTTTTCTTTTTCTTTTTTACTTTTTTGGGTTTAAACGTTTGTGATGTGATCTTCTCTTTCAGGGTTCCTCAATTCTTGAGGCGAGTAGTTAAGGGAGAGGTGGAGTTTCTTGCTGGAAATTCAGGAAATTATACATAAAATGGCATCATCCCCAAAGGATTCTCCATCACAAGATACGCCATCCTCACCTCCTGCTGCTCCTCCACCATCCAAAGACTCATCATCACCACCACCTCCACAATCAAATTCCTCTCCATCTAATTCATCACCTGCACCACCGGATAATGATAATTCTCCCCCTTCTTCAACAGCTTCTCGTTCTCCTCCTCCTCCTAAAAGCAAAGACAGTGATGATTCGTCGTTTGGTGATTACAACGCTCCACCTCCACCGAAGAAACATTCCTCAAAAGATAAATCTTCCACTGATGATGATATATCACCTTCACCTAAACCATCCAAAAGTTCAAAAAATTCATCGGATGCGGATAGCAGCTCGGATACAAAAGTTATAATAGGAGTAGTCGTGGGGGCAGCGTTGTTGCTGGCTGTTTTGATCCTTTTCATTACAAGATGCCTTCGCCAGAAGAAAAAGAAGAAGAAAAATCATTACTATGAGTATGCAGATCCTGATGCCAAAGGTGCTAAACAATTTCCTCAATTCATTTTTAAGTTTGATTCTTTTAACATTTATGTTTATTTTTATGCTCTAAGGATTGTACACAGGGAGTCAGCAATATTACATGGGGCCACAGCAGGCTCAATGGCAGAATAGTCCCGTTCCAGACCATGTTGTTAAGCTACCCCAGGCCCCAGTTGGAATGGGAGGATCTCCAGCCATGGGCTGGGGTGCACCACCGCAGATTCAAGTACCCGTGAGCAGTGGTGAAATGAGCTCCAGTTTCTCTGGCGGCCCTCACCGCCCACCCTTGCCTCCTCCCTCCCCAGGTATTGCTCTGGGGTTCAACAAGAGCACCTTCACTTATGAGGAGCTGGCTGCTGCCACAAATGGGTTCTCCGATGCCAATCTCCTTGGTCAAGGCGGGTTTGGTTATGTGCATAAGGGTGTCCTCCCTAATGGAAAGGTGGTCGCGGTGAAGAGCCTAAAGATAGGCAGTGGACAGGGAGAAAGAGAATTCCAGGCCGAGGTTGAAATAATTAGCCGCGTGCACCATCGCCATCTTGTGTCACTAGTCGGATACTGCATTGCCGGTGGGCAGAGGATGTTGGTCTATGAATTCGTCCCAAATAAGACCTTGGAATATCATCTCCATGGTAACTTTTCCCTTCCCATTCTCTTCTCTAATGTAAGGAGAAATTGACTTAAATTATTCAACCCTTCCTATGATGTGTGCATTTTCATTTTTTTCATTGCAGGAAAGGGTCTTCCTGTTATGGACTTCTCAACTAGACTTCGTATTGCATTAGGCTCAGCGAAAGGGCTTGCTTATCTTCATGAAGATTGTAAGGGATTAATTTATTTTTCCTACTTCCTACGTCTCTCTTGTCCTCTCAAGCATTAGCTGCATTACTTTGTTTTAAACACCTCATGCAGGCCATCCTCGGATCATCCATCGCGACATCAAATCTGCAAACATTCTCCTTGAGACTAATTTTGAAGCAATGGTACTTCCTCTGAACATTAGTCGTTTTGGGATAATCGTAAAATCTAATGCTAAAACTAACCAATGGACAATTTCCTTTGCTTCTTGTTCAGGTGGCTGATTTCGGATTAGCTAAGCTGTCTTCTGATAATTACACTCATGTCTCTACTCGTGTCATGGGAACATTCGGGTAATTGAACATTCTGTAGCATTCAAACATGACATTTGTGGTTCATGGATTGAAGCAATATCAATTTCTGGAGTTTCATTTTTTCATGCTTTGGATAAAATAAAACGAGGAATGAACAAATCTTCTATGAATTAGTCACACTGTTGATATTGACTTCAATTTCTGATTAAGATACTTGGCGCCTGAGTACGCATCAAGTGGCAAATTGTCTGAGAAATCTGATGTCTTCTCATTTGGGGTCATGCTTCTGGAACTCATAACTGGAAAACCACCTGTCGATCCTTCAAATGCAATGGAAGATAGCTTGGTCGACTGGGTCTGTATTCTGCCCTATTCTTCCTGAGCTTACTTTTTATTGCATTTAGATGCTATTCTGTTCTAGCTTACCAGCAGAACATGAAATCTATGTCACCGACCCTGTAAAAATAGGTTATCCTAATCAGATTAAGGAATTCCCGAAGGGTTACCTCTTTGTGTCTTATGTTATAGACCTTGTTGTCTTGGTGCACTATGTTCTCTAGATCTAACTTCTCCACCCTTTTTTGGCAATCTTAATGAATGAACAGGCTCGGCCACTTTTGGTTCAAGCTCAGGGGGATGGCAACTATGATCAGCTGGCAGATCCACGGCTAGAGCGCAACTACAACCACAACGAAATGGCACGCATGGCTGCCTGTGCAGCCGCTAGCATCCGCCATTCTGCCAGAAAGCGTCCCAAAATGAGCCAGGCATGCTGACTTCAACTTTCTCACTTAAAAAACACATAAAATCCCACACCCCATCTACTTACATTTAACATTCATCATGTAAAATCAAACAGATCGTTCGTGCCCTGGAAGGAGATTCATCCCTGGATGACTTGAACGAGGGAGTTAAGCCCGGCCAGAGCACTGCCTTCAGTTCCATTGCAGGAAGCTCATCAGATTACAGCCAAAGTACATACCACGCTGACCTACAAAGGTTCAAACAACTAGCATTATCGAGCCAAGAACTCAATAGCAGCGACTATGGAACTTCCAGTAATGACTCCCGAGACATGACACCAAGGCAAAAGGCGAATATGTAAATTGTAGCAGCCAGCAGCCACCGTGGTCGTATACTTTTTCTAAAAGGAACAAGAAATACATTGAGTTATGCCGGTCTCTGTCCGTTGATGAAGTGTGCTGCGGAGAGATGGTATCTACTATCTAGCTGTGTTTATTTGTTTATTTGTGTTATATATCTGTGTGAAGGTGTTAAGAAGCATTTGAGATTAACTGTTTTCGCCTTTTTTTTGTTTTTCCATGTACAATTTTTCCCCGACCCAAGTTGATCATTTTTGCTCGAATCAAAAATATTTTTCCACATTTTTTTTAAAACAAATCACAATTGTTGGGATGGGAAAAGTGAGGAGTAGAACCCATAGCACAAAGTGGTGCACTCTAACCAAATGAAATTCAATATATACATATATTTTTTTGGCACAATAAAACTCAATAGATATACTTCAAATACCATTAAACTAGATTTATATCTTTCAGTGGTAGATACTTGTTTTGTAAGTCTATTATTTTATAATTTAAATTATATTAAATTATGAAATAAGGATATTTATGTTAAAGAAGAACTTTTAATATCAAATTTTTAACATTTTATCTAAAAAATTTTATCTTACACTTCAATATAATCTAAACTGTAAAATAATTTTTTGGTTACTTTATTATATTTATCTGTTTTTCGTACATATATTGTTTTATTTTGTAGAGATGAGTTTGAACTCTTCACCTTCTAATATAGGAAGAAATACCAATATAAAAAATTTGTTCAGCCTGTGCAAGTATATATTAAGATTTTTCTTGAATTTTATGACATTTATAAAAAAAATTAATAACATATTACCAAGGAGAGAAAATTAAAATATTTTAATAATTTTTTAAATAAGTTTGCAAAAAGTCATATTCGAACCGTTACACAGGAAGAGAGAAATGCACTTAACTAGTGATATGAGGTTCTTGAACCAAAAGTTTAAGTGCAAAACATTTTAATAATTAAAATATTATAAATAATAATGAAAAAGTTAAATATTCTCAATAAATTAATACATAAAAAATTATTTTCACAAACATATTAATATTTAAAATACCATAATATCTCACTTTTTATTTATATTTTTTTACCAAGAAAAATAAACAACCAATTACTTCCACAAAATTGATATTTTTTAGGGGGGTGGTGGTAAATAGGCCTATTCTCTCTCTCAGCCCAAAAGACGCGTGAACTGAGTGGGCTCAGAAAATTGGGCTGGCTCAGTGGGCCAGCAGGGGAGACTCCTATGCAAAATTGGTTCTCCACTTTCCCTCTGAGTTGAACTCGATGCTATATAAACCCTCCCACGAGATTCACGCAGCTACTTCTCTGAACTCTGTCGCCGCTCTGATCCGATTCATATATTCCGATCAAGTGGAAACTTCGATGCCTTTTGTCCTTCTATTGTGACCCTCAAAACGTCCATTTTCTCCGAAGAGCCCTAGCGAAACTCCGATCTCTGCGACATGGGAGACTACAACGACCCCTTCATGCGCGGCCAGAACGCCGCCGTCCAGGCCCGGACCAAGGCGCAGAACCGCGCCAATGTTCAACAGCTCAAGCTGGTACGAATCTTGCTACGATTTTCTGTCAATTTATTTTTTCCTAATCATTTCTCTGGTAACCCTAGGCTTTTTTTTCAGTGGTATTTTGCTATCTGGTTTCATTAGGTTATGGTTATCTTAGATTTATTGTGGCTAATAACTTCAAAGTATGTTGGATTTATTGATTATTATTATAGTTAAGGACATAGTCTTATTAGGTCTAAAAGAATTCGCGCAAGGTAAGGGTGCAAACGGACGCTCTGTGATTGAGCTATAGTTTCTGGGTCATATAAATTTGTGGGTTCATAAGCATAATGATGTGATTCTTGTTTGTTTCGAATAGAATATGATACGATTTTTAATTAATTTGCTATTTTGCAGATTGGGCAAAGCCACCCTACTGGTTTAACAGCTAATCTTCTGAAGCTTTTTGAGCCTCGGCCACCTTTGGAGTATAAACCCCCTCCAGAGAAAAGGAAATGCCCTCCATACACAGGTTTTTTATTGTATTTGCAGCCTCTTTTTTTTTTTTTTCCTGTTTGGCCTGTGTCAATTCAATTTAGCTCCTAACTTTGTGATTTGTTGTGTTTATTAGGAATGGCACAATTTGCGAGTAACTTTGCTGAGCCAGGTGATCCTGAGTATGCTCCACCAGTTAAGGAAGCTGAAACACCTGTAAGACACTCTTTGTTTTTTTTTTTTTTATTTTTTTTTTTTTGTGGGTTTTTGGTTTTTTTTATCTATATTGCTTTGCCTTGAAACAACTTTTATCAAAATTGAAGTCTTGGTAGCAAGAGCTTGGTTAAGTTGGTACTCATTAACTCCAAAACCTCAATGAAGTCAAGGTTAGGGGTTTAAATCCCTGCTATATTTAAGCACTAACTAACTTCGTTTGCCAACCCTAAGAAAGAAAATTGAAGTAATGGTGTTAAGCTAATGGAGTGCTAATTCGCATTCGGAATATATGATTAATGCAGTACTCAAGCAGTTTATAAAAGTCTTTTACCAATTTTCTTAGTTTTGTGTTTTTCTAGTTATCTGCTGTTCGGTATCATTTTTTTTTGTGTTTGCATATACATACATATATATATATATGTATGTATGAATGCTATCATTAAAAGATTGACTTGGCATGGTTTTCAGGTCAAAGCTGCTAACTTGATTTTGGGTGCCTAGCATATAAATATAATATATGATTAAGCTTTTTCCTGGAGTTTGATATATTTCAAATGTCATCAGTGGTTTCTAAAATAATGTTTGGTGGATTCAGGCACAAAGAAGAGCCAGAATCCATAAGTTACGACTGGAGAAGGGTGCTGAAATGGCTGCTGAGGGGTTGAAGAACTGTAATTTCTTCTTTCTTTTGTTAACTTTTGTTATTGGTCCTAGTTGGGTTTGTTGATAGAGAGTTAAAATGCTTATATTTTGTGGTTTTTTTTTTTGCTTTTATTTTTCTTGCAGACGAGCCCAATAGTGACCCAAATATTTCTGGAGATCCATATAAGACATTGTTTGTTGCTAGACTTGTGAGTGATATCTCCTGTCTCTTTCTTTCTTCAAGTCATTATTATTTCCCTTTTTGATTGATTTACTGGTTATATCGTTTGTTTGCAGAGTTATGAGACAAACGAGAGTAGAATTAAAAGGGACTTTGAAGCTTATGGACCAATTAAGCGGGTAGGTATTTTTGAACAACCCCATGCAGGTTTGGTAAGAGGTTGCACAGCTACTTTATTCTCTTTGTTTCCTTCATAAGGGTTTTAATTTCACAAGTCAACATTTCAAACTCTTTAACATTTGACTTTCAACATTTTCCCCCAATACTTTTAAATCAAGCTTTATCTGGGCTAAAAAATTGTTTACATATTATTTGTTTCAATTAGCAAAGAAACTATGAATTGGATTGCAGTATCATTTTATTGTTGAAAGTCTCTGGATTTAGATGGTAAGTTTAGATAGAAATGCATAGTAAGTCTTATTTTTGGCATTTATGCTAGTGATAATAAAAAGGAGAATGTTAAAAATCTCTCCTGTTCTATAACACCTTACATATGGAGTGTCCATGCAAGTTGGAAAATAGCACAGGTATTGCTTCCTATTCACTGGTAATGGTCTGTGGGTTAGTTTCATTGATTGTTTGATAAAACACTTTTATATGGTAAGATTTAGAAATCTCCTTCAGCCATGGATGAGGTTCCTCTTTCTAGTAATTGATCTAGCATTAAGGTTCATCATTTAAAGAGATCCCTGGTAAGGGGTTTTTACTCCCCCTCTCTCCTCCCTAATATTGCTTACCATCCTCTTCCAATGGTGCTTCTTCATCCTGCGTAGCAAAGCTGAAAAAATTATGTTGAGCAGACGAGTCCTTCATTGTGCCTTTCTGCCATTAATTTCAAGTGAAAAAGGTGGCTGGCGTCTATTCTATTCCTGTTCTGGGTAAAACATGTGGGGAGTATTAGCATCTCTTTCTCTTATTTGAATTTTTAGTCCATGCATTTTCTGCTAATAGAAATTTTACTTTTGGCTTCAAAGGCTATCAAAAACATATCAGCAGTTGAGAAGGTGGTCTGGTATTTTCTACATTGTCTGTAACTCTTCTTCCATTTTAAAAAATTACTCCCTGGTAAGGGGATTTTAATCTGTTCAACAAATGGTAAATATGCTATGAAACATCGGTTTTTCTGCAACTCCAGTGGTGATGCATCTCGCGATCGGAGCCCTATGATTAAAAGGTGAGCACGGCTAATGAGGCATAGTGCCTGTCTGCCGTGCCATTTAGGATTTATTTTTCTAATGCCTCTGTGGAGTTGTCATCTAGTGTGGAGATAAAAACGTAATCTGTTGTGAATATCTGATTTTTCTATAAATGTTTTATTATTCTTCACCAACTTCAGTAACTTTTGTTTATTTTTTGAGCTTACCAGGTTCGCTTGATTACTGATAAAGTGACAAACAAGCCCAGAGGCTATGCTTTCATTGAGTACGTGCATACTAGGGATATGAAAGGTTTGCATAAATATTGTGCTGTTTGTTGGTTTTATCTCCTTTAATTTGAGAGTGTATCTGATCACTTGTTGCACATGCCCTGACAGCTGCATATAAACAAGCTGATGGCAAGAAGATTGACGGAAGAAGGGTGCTTGTGGATGTAGAGCGAGGTAGGACAGTTCCAAATTGGCGTCCTCGCAGACTTGGTGGTGGACTTGGAACCACCAGGGTTGGAGGTGAAGACATTAACCAGAGGTAATTGCTTAATATAGTTCTATGAAGTTTTCAATAATAGTGCTTAATGGTAGATGCTTGGACTTTGGAAATTTACATTTAAGTTGTGAGTACTAAGTTAGAAATCAGAGAATAAAATATTGTATTTGGCACCCTAGGAGACTTTGCTTCCCTTTACCTTCGTGATAGTGGCATGTAATATCTGTAGGTAGAGAGCCTTTATTACCTATTCTAGTTGTTGCTTTTAGTGGAAATCTTAATAATCTATACTGCTGTGTATTGATTACTCAGGGAGCAACTGCAGTCAGGGCCATCCCGTTCTGAGGAGCCAAGAATACGAGATGATCGGTAGGAAAGCCTGAATTATGTTATTATTCCTTATTTTTATATTTGGAGTACAAGTGTATTGAGGTGACTAAACTCATTTCAGTATAAATTGTTGAATGCCAGATGACATGATTATTTTGATGGAATACCATTCATTATTTTGCCATGTTTCACCAGGTTTTACGTTAGATATATTACTAATCTTAAAAAATCTCAGTGATAGGGAAAGATCCCGTGAAAGAGCAAGGGAACGAGAAAAGTCCCATGAGCGCTCCCATGACAGACCAAGGGATCGTGATAGGGAGGAAAAGCATTATAGAGAGCGAGAGAGAACAAGAGATAGAGACAGAGACAAAGAGAGAGATAGGGGGGAAAGGGAGAGAGATCGAGGTCGTGATCGTGACCGAGGCCGTGAACGTGATCGAGCTCGGGATCGTGGTCGTGACCATGAGCGTGACCGAGAAAGAGATCGTGAGCGGGATCGTGATAACCTCCGTGAGAGGGAGAGGGACAAAGACAGGGATTATGATGTTGGTGAGCATGATCATGACCGTGGGCAGTCACGTGATAGGGAATCTGAGTATGATCGTGTTGAGTCCAAACATGAAAGGGACCGACATGGTGAGAGGGAATATGATCGTGGTGAGGAAGAACATGGATGGTATGAACAGCATGACCAGCATGACCAGCACTACGAGCATCGTCGAGGTCGGGGAGACTATGAGCATTTGGATGCACAAGGCGACCATGATCGCTATAATCAATATGAGCATGACCGTGATCGTTATGATCGAATGGATGAGGATGATTACCATTATGATCATGACCGGGACAGGACTCGTGATCTAGAACATGAATATCGACGCTCAGACAGGTCAGTTTCCCGTGAGTATGATCACTAAGAATGTTGTTTCTCCTGGATTCAAGAAGACAGTTTTTGTTCCTGTGTTCTATCCCTTTATTTAGTTTTGTTCTTAGTTCAGAAGTTTCTGTTCCCTGTCAGCATGGGTTTCGACTTTATTTTTTTTGTTATTAAGAACCTTAAAGACTAAGGTTGTGTGTGAAGTTCTATGGATGACTATGACTATTAATATTGTTGTAGTGTTGTTTTCTGTTTAGTGTTGGGATTACCTGCTTATGGTATCATATGGTTATGATGAATAAAGTTTGTGTTAAGCAATTGGGACAACTGATTAAAGATCTTGCCTGCTTGGATGCTAGTTATTTGTATTGCTTATTGCATCGTGCAGACTGCAGGGGTGCTCCTCCTGAAATTCTAGATTTCTTTTATTATTGTTTCTGATATCATCGTACATCTCTTCGGCCGGAATGGAAGTTTGACTGTCTTAGACTGCCCACTTTTTTAAAAAATACAACGCATTGTGAAGATAAGAGAAATCTAAATGAAAAATAGCTTCTGAGGTCTTGGAAGCGGACTAAGGGTATGTTAAGTCTGAAGAAAACAGAGAATAGGGGAGGGAAGGGGATCCATAAATTTTTTAACCAGTTATTATTAACAAATGTTACAATTTAATTAGTTAAAAATTTTATTTTTCCTCTTAATTTTTTTCAAACTAAACGTACTCTAAAGTCAGTAGACTGGTGGAGTAATCAATTGAAGTAACCCTTGCTGGCGCCCCCGGAAGGATACCCATTAGACCTATGTTTTCTTTTTTACCCAACTCTAGGCTTATGACGTCGGGATCGAAGTACCCATTTTACAGCTATGCGTAAGTGCTCATTTTACAGTCTCATTTTACAGCCCTATGAACTGGGTGACCCTCCAAAGTTTTAAGTCTATAATGAGAAACCATTTATTTTATGGGCAATGTAACTTTATTCTTTTCCTCTCTGACCTGGGACGTTTGTAAGGTCAAACTAGTGTTCCATACGGTGTAGCACTTTGATGCAGCAGGAAGGCTTTTTCTGACCGCAAACTACTTAGCTACGCCCCAACTCCCAAGCATATAGAGACATGGATACAAGGATCCTTGAAGTGGGTGTTTGATGATTTTAGTGCCAAGTGTGCACGTGATGTCGCCATGAAGAAGAAGCCAAGAGCCTTAGAAGCAGCCATGAAGCTTCTTGGCTTTCCCATAACTCGGAGTCGCAGCAGCAGAGCGGTGTCTAGAATTCTTCTAAATGTCGAACTTGATGAGGTCCGCACTTTTTTGTTTGAAAACTTTCCGCACCTTCTACGAAATTTCCTCACAAATCTTCCTGATCTCCCTGTTTACTGTTCAAAACAAATTGCTCCATATTAGTTAAAGGAATAGGATCCTCACATACACAAATATTTATAAAAAAATTATACTCATTTGTTTTTCATTAAAAATAATTGAGATTTATTACTATTTTTTAAATGAAAAAAAATTACTTTTAAAAAATAAGATTAAAAATAAATAAATTGTAATAATTTATTAGTGGGGATAAAAGTTTAGATTTTATGTAAAAGTTATTTATAAGACTTCTGTAAAAATTAATTCCGATTCATAATTACAATGCAGGAACCAGTAATAGCAGACTTAAAGGCTGCTGTTATAGAGATAAACAGAGGATTATGAGCTGTTGGGTGATCTAAAACTTCTACTAAAATAATAATAATTTAAAAGTTAACGAATGAAAGAAAAGAATTTACAGTGAGGAGCAGAAAATCAATAATTCAGCGCTGAATATTAACTGAAAAACGGCGTTGGTATTTTTTTTTTTTCCTCTCAAATTAATTCAAGGGAATTTGTCCATTGTCCTGGAAGCAGCGATGAAATTTCCCCTTCCGTGTAGACTGTATAAAGTACAGTACGATTGCATCCAATTCATCGTTAATTCCTTTCAAAGAAATGGATATATAGAAAGGAAGAGAAAATGAACAGAGATAGGGGTAGAACCTTACGCCGTACACTGTACATAATGCAGACACCTTAGTGAACAGGGTTAAATCACAATTTTTCGGCTCTTTCTGAACCACACTTTTTTTTTCAGCTAGACAAGCATTTTTCATTTATAAATAAATGAAGACACCAAGGAGGGTATTGAGAAGTGCTCTCAATTCTTCATGCTTTCTTCAGCTTGAAAGCTTTGGCATCCATAGCATTAGAATCAGAGAGGAATAGAAGAGAAACGGGGAACATTTAGCCAGAGGAAAACTCATCAAGAACTACAACAGAGGGTTAAGACAATTACAGAGAAACAGATTCAGGAAGGTAAACAAATGGCTCGACCCAAGGCGAACATAGGGGCCTTAGCCAGTGCAGCATTTGCAGTCTTTCTTGTTATGGTCATGATGAGCCATATCAGCAATGCAGAAAGAGTACTGAAAGATAAACATGAAGAAGTTCACGTCAAGAAAGAATCCACACAACCGTTTATAGTTAGAGTAGCCAATTTCCTCTGGCAAGGTGGAAAATCCTCTTATGAGCATGTTTGGCCGGTGAGTGTAGGAAGCATTACGTAGAAAATTTCAATCTTCTTATGTAATGTTTCTTTAGTTTCTTTATTTTTTTTAATATAATAGTCACATGGTATCATGAGTTAGTTTCTTTATTTTGACGTATAAATTTACATTTTTTTTTTGGCCTTAAACAGGAATTGAAGTTTGGCTGGAGAATTGTAGTTGGCACTATGGTAGGATTCCTTGGAGCTGCTCTGGGTAGTGTTGGAGGAGTTGGAGGTGGTGGAATTTTTGTCCCAATGCTCACCTTGATCATTGGATTTGACGCCAAATCTTCCACGGCCATCTCTAAGTGTCAGTTTTGGATGTTTTCAATTCATGTGTTTACTTCATTTACAAGTAATCTAATACTAATTGTAGTTGATCGGTGATTTTTATTTTTATTTTTTTGCTTTTTGTTTACAGGTATGATAATGGGTGCAGCTGGATCGACAGTGTACTACAACCTGAGACTAAGGCACCCAACATTGGAAATGCCACTCATAGATTATGATTTAGCATTGCTCTTCCAGCCAATGCTTATGCTGGGAATCAGCATAGGGGTTTTCCTTAATGTCATGTTCGCGGATTGGATGGTCACGGTCCTGCTTATCATTCTCTTCATTGGTAAGATTATATCCTTAACTTCAATTTCTTTAATGCCCTAATAAGCTTGTGGACTGACTAAATGTTATTGATCATGGCTGCAGGTACATCAACTAAAGCCTTATTCAAGGGTATAGAGACATGGAAGAAAGAGACCATGATGAAAAAGGTAGAAAAATGTTTACTTACTTCTCAGGTTTTTAATGATTTTCCTCTTCAGAAGTTTGTTACTGAGAGAGACTCCATGATTCTGCTTTTCAGGAAGCAGCCAGGTTGGAGTTGGAGGCGAAACCTGCAGGTAAGCTTCCAGTCATACTCTCCAAGAAAAATTGCCTATAATTGTTTGTTTTTGTGAAAAATACAGGATGAATAGGTCTACTGTTGAGTGAAATTTTGGTCTACTAATTATATACTGGAAAATGGAAATCACTTTTGCATAAATATCATGAATGTAGATGGAGCTAGTCAGGACTATAAACCACTACCTAGCGGTCCAGCATTTATGCCAGATGATCAAGTGAGTTTCAACAATTTACTTTTCCCCTAAAAAAATTCTGTTTTGAGATTTCTCAAACACATCTTTATTCTTATGGTTTCTTATTTGTATTCTTATTGTGATGGTCATCATTCACACCAGGTTCCCCTCCTACAAAACATTTACTGGAAAGAGTTGACATTACTTGTTTATGTCTGGGTTGGTTTCCTCATTGTTCAGCTTGTTAAGGTATTCCTTAATGCTTTTCTGTACCTTCACCAGACGTCGCAGATTCTATAGAGTCTCCAAAGTGTAAATTTAATTGTTCTTTGTTCCTAACTATAGAATTTTCATGAATCCCTAGGAATATGTTCCAACATGCTCAACCACCTACTGGATTCTAAACTCCTTGCAGGTAGTATCTAAATGCTCATAACAAGCAAGCTTGAGAACTATTCAGTTGACCACGGGAGAAGTTTGTGACTTCTCAGGGATTGAATGAGTTCAACAATTCAACTTAATTGTTGTTCTTTGTGCAGGTACCAATTGCTGCCTCTGTCACTCTTTTTGAAGCCATATGCTTATACAAAGGGACCAGGGTAATTGCATCCAAGGGAAAGGAAGTCACAAACTGGAAAATTTATCAGATTCTTCTTTACTGTTCCTGTGGGATAGTTGCTGGTATGGTAGGCGGCCTGCTTGGCCTAGGAGGTGGCTTCATCCTTGGACCTCTTTTTCTTGAGTTGGGCATTCCTCCTCAGGTACATTTGACTCATCTTTTTATGCATCCTTTACTTTAAAGCCTATTCAAAATATCAAGAAAACAGCAAATTTGGGGGTTGAATATAGTTTGTATTTGAGACAAATCTTAACGCAACCTAGCTACATAAATATATGCATCATCAATATGGACATACTCGTTCTTCTTTAGGTAGCAAGTGCAACATCAACATTTGCAATGGTATTCTCGTCCTCGATGTCAGTTGTACAATACTATCTCCTCAACCGGTTCCCAGTCCCATATGGTATGTTGCAATGCCTTGCAAGTTTTTACTCCTTTGGCTTCTTGTTATCCTTGCATAGCTTAACAATAAAATTGGCTTTTCCTCTTGCAGCTTCTTATTTTGTTTTAGTAGCAACAATTGCCGCCTTCACTGGCCAGCACGTTGTCAGAAAGATCATTGCCGTGCTTGGAAGGGCATCCATAATCATCTTTATCCTAGCCTTGACAATCTTTGTAAGCGCAATCAGTTTAGGTACGTAACTCTATATCAAGCTTTTAAATGAAACCATTCTTGACATCTCTTATAACTATCTATAAAAAATGGGTAAAAATAGGTCTTTTTTATCAATAATTATAAAATATGTAATTCGTACATAACAAACTATAAAACATCAACCTCATATACATTTCCGTGTTTTGGAAAAAGCATATATGTTAGTCAAATCATAACAAAAGGCATTGTCGTCTTGATTGTAGGAGGAGTTGGCATTGTGGATATGGTTGAAAAGCTGGCGAATGAAGAGTACATGGGGTTCGAGAACCTCTGCCATGTGGCTTGAGTTCTCCGTGCTATGTGGGGAAATTCTGCACTCTGTCGTGGCAACAAAATCCACGGTGCTTTGAACTTCCAAAGTTACCTATTTATTCTTCATTACTTTTCAAGTAAAGATTTGGTTTAATTGAATGTTCCTAGACATTCGTTTGTTTTCCAGCTTCTTCATGTTGTTCTTTGGGTTTTGGTTTTGGATTTGGATTTTCCCTGCATCTTATTCTGTAATGGCTATGGCAATGGCAGCCACATTTTATGTATGAAATTATTCAGAATAACACTCATAAGGTGTCTTTTTAAAACTTCAAAAATCAATAATAATTTTATTCTATTACAGAAATAATAAATTCTAAATTTAATATTAAAAATTGAAAAATATTTTAATTAATAAGATAATGTTTAGTTTAGTTTTAGAATATTACGTTTTAAATATACTGTAAGTATTTTGATTAATAAGATAATATTTAATTTAGTTTTAAAATATTACGTTTTAAATATATTGTAAGTATTTTGATTTTTTAATATGAGTTAAAGCAACCGAAGGAGCATTTCCCAAGTGAAGCTTAAGGTTTTTGTGGTCTAATTGCACTGGTCATGAGCTGAAGTTCTTACATTTTAGGCAGCCTGCTTGCAAAGCACCAACTTTTAGAAGAAAAATCAACTTTTTTTTCGAGTGGTCGGTAGGCCATTAAAAGTGCTTGGCTTCCTCATTCCTCAGCAGAAATTGGAATATGTTAAAAGGCCTAGGAAATGCTTAGGCTGAGCACAGTCCATAGGATGTTGTGATTTTGAATCTAGATAAAATGATTAAGAATTTTTAGAATTTTACATAATCGAAAATGAATAAAAATCTAATTTAAAAAAAGAAGACAATTGAGAGATAATTTTTTTATATATCACTTAATAATAATATTTAGAGACATAAATAGGTTAAAAAAATGTTAAAAATAGTAGCAGAAACGAAACGCTTTAATCGAGAAGGTTTACAGCGTGATAATCCCAACATTTTGGGGGCAAATTTTCGAGCTTTGTTTTCCCGCCCAAACCCGCCCAGCTGTTTTTTAGGAATTAATAATAATAATAAAAATAAAAATAAATAAATAGATAAATAAATAAATACTGCGCTCTCTTCAAAGTCTCCACTCGGGATAAAAATTCAGACTCTCCATCTTCTCCGGTCTGCTTTCTTCGGAAGCTTCCCGTTCTCCGCGGTGCACTCTCCGGTGACGCTCACACTGTATGTTTTCTTTTCTTATTCTTATTCTTTTACTGTTTTTTCTTTGCTTTCATGGAAATCGCATTTCATTTTACGTAGTCGAAGCCCTAATATGGTCTATGGTTGTCGAGAATGTTAGTTTTCTCTGATTTTCTTTGATTCTTAGTATAGTGCTTGGTTATGTAGGATTGTTTTGTGCTTCTTTGTTTGGATACAGGGTTGATCGGAGTTTTTGGTTCGAAATGGAGGCGAAGACGGAAAAGGTAAATGATGCTCCTGCCGATTCGCCGACATCCGTCCTGGAAGACGAGGTTCGCTTTCACTTTTTCCTGTCTCCTTCTATTTCAGAAAGTTACGTGTCTTTTATCTGTTTATTATTTGCTTTTGAGAGATTCTGTTTGTTTCTTGGGAGAGTGGGGGAAAGTGAAATGAAAAAATTCGTATGTTGTTCACACTGCTGGCTAAGTCTTTGAACATACTTTTTTGGTATTTTTATTAGTTTTATAAAGGTAACTTTCGCTTTTGTCTTTAAATTTCAAGAATTAAGAATAAAAAATGGTTATTGTTGTTTGGAAATGTTTATTGTCATTTCACTGGGCAGTTTAAAGCTCACATGTTTGATGAAATTCCTCTATGAACTTGGTTTGTTATGTCTTACTGTTTGGCATTTTTAGGTCTTATGCTTGCGGAAGGGGAATGGGGGTTGAGTGTGCAACTTGTGTTTCATTATGGAACATTTATTCCATGCTCTAGTTTGATTTTCATCAAGCTGAAATTTGAGAAATTTGATATAGATAAAATCTGATGTGCTAGCATGCATGCAGGAGTGTGCATTTCAGATTAGATTCAATTTGCAATATCTTGCTGTTCTACGAGAAATCCTGTGCATATTTGACTTCATCTAGCAGTTTTAACATATTTTATTTCTGTTTTATCATTTTGGGTTTATGTTAAATTCATTCTATTCAAATATATAGGAAAAAGTTGCCAAGTTGGAAGAGGAAATGGTTCTTAATGCGGAAGACGTCAATTCCTCTCTAATATCACGGTCAATGCTTGAAGAGGAAAATATGCTACTACAGGCTCGGTTGAAGGAGGAGACAGAGCAAGAGGAACCAGAAGAGGCACCTCAGTTAAATGACTCACAGTTTACAAGATTGGATGAGCTTTTAACTCAAACCCAGTTATACTCAGAGTTTCTGTTAGAAAAAATGGAAGACATAACATTTGTACTTTCTTTGACTTCCTTTTTTATTCTGTGTTTGATGCTTTGAAGCTGCTTGGCTTATTCTCTTACTAAGAGATAATTTTATTTCTAGAATGGAGCGGAGCAGGAAACTGTAGCTGTTGAGAAGAAGGGAGGTTGTGGTTCCAAAAGAAAAGCTGCCAAACAATACAACAATGTAATCCTTCGTTCTGCTTATTTTTCCTCTTTAAAATGGTATATTCTGTGGACTTGGAAATGGGCTGCTGGATGGTTATTATGTTGCACACATTTAATTTTATTTGTTATCTTACATGGCAACTGCTTGATTTCCTATATTTTCTGTTGGTTCTCTCAATGTGGCTGTTCAGATTTCATAAAACTAATAAATGGAAGTGGTCCAGATATATTCCATGAGTCTTTCCTGGGAGTCTAGGATGATGAGCTACTTCCTTTGTCTGTAATTATTTAACCACTTTGAAAATGTTCCAATACACTGTCTTGGCAGTCAGTTTGCTGCCTTAGAATTCCTTTATATGGTTATTAGATTTTTCAAAAAGCTTGTCAGTCATCTGGTTTAAGTTTATTAGTTTTCACCTTTGGATAGTTGATATAATCCATCAAAGGTTACTTTTAGAAACTTTGGTGCTGCCCTGCATCACCCCCCATATATATATATATATATATATAAAACCAATTTTTGTTGTCTTAGACAATAATAGTCCTGCAAATGTTTTTCTAGAAGAGGGCCAAGAGAGCAGTTGCAGCAATGCTCACAAGGTCTAGAGAGGCTGAGAAAATTGAAGATGCAAACCTGACCGAGGAAGAAAGAATCGAGAAAGAGCAGAAAGAACTTATACCCTTGTTGACTGGTGGCACATTGAAGTCTTATCAACTTAAAGGTGTAAAGTGGTTGATATCCTTATGGCAGAATGGGTTGAATGGGATCCTTGCAGATCAAATGGGTCTTGGAAAGACAATTCAAACAATTGCATTTCTTTCACATCTAAAGGGAAATGGAATGGATGGACCCTATTTAGTTATTGCTCCTCTTTCAACCCTCTCTAATTGGGTGAATGAGGTTACAAGGTAAACTTTTCTCTTAGTTTTCATGAAAAACAGTATCAATTAAAAACTTCCAACTTTTAGTTCATGTTTATAAAATTCTGTTGGAAATAGGTTTGTTCCTTCAATGAATGCAATCATCTACCATGGAAGCAAGCAGGAGAAGGATGAGATACGTAGGAAGAACATGCCTAGAGTTATTGGCCCAAAGTTTCCTGTTGTCATTACTTCTTATGAGGTGGCAATGAGTGATGCCAGAAGATTTTTGAGGCATTATGACTGGAAATATATAGTGGTTGATGAGGTGGGTGTTTTGACCTATACAGTGACTAATGTCAGCGTCTTCTGCATGTAAATGTTAATTTGTGAAATCTATAAACAAAGATACTTCATTTTGCTATACTAACCATGTTCTCTTTTTCTAAAGGGGCACAGGTTGAAAAACTCTAAATGCAAACTTTTGAAGGAATTGAAGCGCTTGCATGCAGGCAATAAGCTTCTTTTAACTGGGACGCCTCTCCAGAATAATTTGGCTGAGCTTTGGTCAATGCTGAATTTTATTTTGCCTGATATTTTTCAGTCACATGAAGAATTTGAGTCATGGTTGGTATGCTTTGTCCATTTTCTTTTTTCTCATTACTACTATTTATTGTGCAGGGTATGATTTGTGTTTCACATGAGCTGGGTACAGTAATCTCCAATACTTGTATAACAGCACATAGTGTGTCATCCCACTTCTTTTGTTTATGCTTGGTACCTGACAGAAATGCTAGTTAAATGTCAAAGTCCTATCTGGCCCATAGTTCACTGTACTTACAGAGGCAGATGAGCTAGATTGGTTCAAATTCATTGGGTTTTTCCTTTCTCTGTTTTACTTATAGTCTTAGGGGCAGAGGGATTCCTTGATCGCCTTCCATTTTTTTTCTTTATTGGTTATTATGCTTTACCCCTTTGCCTCATGGCTCTTTTTTCATTTTGGTTTGAACTTTCAGGTTTGATTTGTCTGGAAAGTTAAACAACTTAACAACAAAAGAATCAGAAGAGAAGAGAAGGGCACAAGTATGCATCTTTCTTAACTGCTCCTCTTCTTTTGTTAAACATTTCATAATTTATATTTAATTTTTTGGTGGTTCTGATTGCCTGCAGGTGGTAGCTAAACTGCATGCTATATTACGTCCCTTTCTTCTTAGGAGAATGAAGGCTGATGTTGAGCAGATGCTCCCTCGCAAAAAGGAGATTATTCTATATGCTAACTTGACTGAGCATCAGAGAAATTTTCAGGACCATTTAGTTAATAAAACACTGGAAGACTATCTAAGGGAGAAAGTTGACACAGGTATTAATTAATTATTGGTTGAAGGAACTGCATAATCAGTTTTGAGTTTAAATAGAAAAGAAGACATATTTTGCAAGAGTTTTTTTTTTTTTATGGACTCTGGGATTCTCCTTTCTATTTATTATGTATTGCTTTTGTTTCGTTGAAAATTTGTTTTCTGTTTATTGATATTGAATGCTTGTTCAGTTTAATGTCTAATCTCTGGAAGCAAGCTGGAAGACAGAAGGTGTACCGATATAAAACTTTTGGACCTAAGCATAGAGGCTTTTATTGGAGATTTTGTAAGAATATTGGGGCAACTAAACTTCTGATGTCAAAAGCAGAAATAGCTGAAACCAGAAGGCAATTGAAATCAACATGAAAGTCATTATGCATTTTTAACCCTTTGTGTTCATGAAATCATCAGTTTCCTTAATTTTTTATGGCAGGCAGTTTACTTAATTTATCATGTGGGGACCATGAGACTGATTTTATGAAACGGTATTTGCTATCCAACCGTTAAGATTTCAAATAGTCTATGGGCTGTTAGCATGTTGTGCTGAAGTATGTATGTCAATTATTCTTGGCCTTGGGAAAACATGGAATATAGCTACAGATGCCATGTTAGTTACCTGAAGTTGTGCTGTTTTCCTTATCTATATTCTATTTGCAACACAACTTTTTTCACAGAAGGGGTTAAATTATTTGTAATGTTCAATGGTTGTTAAATTTCTATATTATGGTGATTATAATTTGTAATATTGCAGGACGTGGCATTAAGGGGAAGCTAAATAATTTGATGGTTCAACTTCGGAAGAATTGCAACCATCCTGACCTCTTACAATCAGCCTTTGATGGCTCAAGTATCTCTCTTGCTACAATGCTAGTAAATTTACAGTCAAATCATAGTATTCAGCTCCACTTATTGCCTTTTTTTTTTTTTTTTTGTGGTGGACAGGTTCCTATCCCCCTGTGGAGCAAATAATTGAACAGTGTGGAAAGTTCTGTTTGCTTGACAAATTATTGGCTCGGTTATTTGATCGTAAGCATAAGGTATGTTAATAGATTTGTAGTAGTAGTTTCTTTCTTTGCATCAATGTTGGCTCCTTATCTCTCTTGCTTTACTACAGGTTCTGATATTCTCACAGTGGACAAAGATTCTGGATATAATGGACTATTATTTTAGTGAAAAGGGATTTGAAGTTTGCAGGATCGATGGCAGTGTGAAACTAGATGAAAGGAAAAGACAGGTTTGCACCTTGCACAAAGTCACTAAATTTTGTCTAAGTGAAGCAGGTTCTATTGTTGTCCTCATTATAATGTCAAGGAACTGTTTAACTTGGATAATTGTTTTCTATCATGCTGGGAATGGAATTTGACTGTTTAACCCAAACATCTGATATTGTAAGTATACTGAGAGCTTCCTTAGCTTTTGGTTTCTGACGGGGAAAGAGTCAAACTCTGTTTTTGTTTTTCATTTAAGCATTCCTTGTTTCAGTTAATTCTGTTTACTTATTTCATTTTTTGTATCTCTTCTTTAGTTATTTCTACTTACTGTTCTATAAGAACTGAGGAATGAAGGGAAAACTGTAATTTTCCAGAAAAGCAGTCCATGAGTTGGTCATGTGCTAATGTTTTAATATGGCCATCCTTTATGCTATACTAGAATCCCCTACTTTTCATTACCAATCATCTATTATTTACTGTTGTTCAAACAGATCCAGGAGTTCAATGATATCAACAGCAACTATCGAATATTTCTCCTGAGCACTAGGGCTGGTGGCTTGGGTATCAACCTCACAGCAGCTGATACCTGTATACTGTATGATAGCGACTGGGTGGGTATTACCTATTCTCTTTTCTGTCTCTTTTTTAATGCCCCATATTAAGAAGTATACAAACTAATTCTTGTATTGTTTATGCATCCAGAATCCTCAAATGGATTTGCAAGCCATGGATAGATGTCATAGGATTGGGCAAACTAAGCCTGTTCATGTTTACAGACTTGCAACAGCTCAATCTGTTGAGGTACTCTATTGAATGTTTGACCTCTGCTCTTATGTGAGTTTCTTCTTCTGGATTAAATTGTCAAGAAACTCAAAAGAATTGTGTTTGAACAGTGCCGAATTTTGAAAAGAGCTTTCAGCAAGTTGAAGCTTGAGCATGTGGTGATTGGGAAGGGGCAGTTTCATCAAGAAAGAAAACCTAGTACTGACACCTTGGAGGTTGGTTCATGCTTTTCTTTTTATTTTTAGCAACAGTTTCTTGCGATGTGGGTTCTATTGGATTTATTGAGTTTCCATGAGGCAATGGCTGTCATTTCTGACTTTTTTCTGCATCATTCTTAGGACTTTGAAGTTGAGAGATGTTTGTACCATAAACCCATAATGTACCATGGTTTTAGAACAATCCAATTTATTAAGTTCTTGCAGATTTTGCCTTCTAATTGTTCATCTTTGTTATTATATTGAATCTTAAATCTTAATAACTAAAATTTTAGGAAGAGGATTTACTAGCATTGCTGAGAGATGAAGAAACTGCCGAAGATAAGAGGATTCAGACAGATATTAGTGATGAAGATCTAGAAAGGGTCTTGGATCGAAGTGACCTAATTGCTGGTTCAGATGATGGAAATGCTATTGCATCCATCAATGCAGTCCCTCTCAAAGGTCCTGGTTGGGAGGTGGTGATACCAACTGGGACTGGAAGTGTGCTTTCCACTCTCAACAGTTAATGATGCACTTCTGGGGATGCAGTGCAGCATAGGATGGTCATGTCTCAACATATTGGGGACCTGTGATTTTTTTTATCTTTTTGGAGCTTCCCTTGGAGGTTTTAACTTCTGACATCTGAGCTGAAAAATGGTCCGAAGCTAAAAGCTCTCTTCCACCCGTAGGGATGGATGAATGAGATTCGTGAGAACTGACTTTTGTAGATGTTACGCTGCTTTTGCATTGCCAGGTCTGTAGTAATTACTCATTCCATCTCGTATTAATAGTCTCTTTTTATTAAATTATTACTCAAATTTTAAGTCGTTTCAACATTTAAAGTTGCATCAATTTTTATCTTCGCTATAGTTAAATCTCATAATTACTCAAATCATTTACAGCATCTTCTCTTTTGTGTGTGATACGTGATGGTAATTATATGATTGGAATTCCGATTATTTCATGTGTCCTGGACCCTGTGGCCTGCAGGGTGCGGGTTGTGGTCCTTGTGGATTTAGTTGTGGGTTCTCCATTGGAGAAAACTGGACAAAATGTCAATTTCGGCGGTTTCTTTTCTCCACATAAAAGCGATGTGTTACGGGCCCTACGGGGATTGAAAGACACTGGGTTTTTGGTTTTCTACTGAGAGGCCAGCCCAAACGATTTAGTGTTATTAATCACTTTCAAAATCAAAATGAGGCTTTCTACTTTGGGAAGTTCTTATCCAGAAGCCTCTTGGGATTTCTGGATTTATGATGGCCCTGTAGCTCCTTTGCTAATGGGAAGAACGGTTTTCGGTCTTTATTTTCTAACATAATTCACAACTTGTTAACTTTCCTTTCTAAGCTTTTTAAGAGGAAAAAATTCTCTCAATTTTTTTAAACAATACTCAGTTGAAAATTTTCTTATCGACTTTTTTTGTATTAATTTTTTATCAAATATAAAAAAATTAGTATTAACCTAATAAAATTAGATTAAAATTTTATTACAAAATTCATTAATTTTTTTATATAATACTTATTAACTTTTTATACAATATTTTTTAATAAAACTTTTCTCCATAAGGGCATATTTAGTTGGTATCATTTTATTAAAAAAATTTTTATTAAGAAGGTTTTTATTTAGAAAAATGGTTAGAAAAATATTATACAAAAAATTAGAAAGTGTTGTCTAGAAAATTATTAAATTTTATAATAAAATTTTGTTATTAAGTGAATTTTGTTAGATTATTAATTTTGTTGCATTCAATAAGAAATTGATGTGAGAAAAGTTATAAAGTGAATTTAATATTTATTTATAAGAAAATCTTTTTTTAAAAAAGTAAAAAACAAACTTTATAAATTAAAAATCATGTTAAAAATTATTAATATATAAAAATATATAAATAACTTCATAAAAAAGAAAAAAAGTTCAAACAACTTTAAAAAGAAAAGTTTTCAAACCAAACACTGCCATAAGGTTGGTAGCCAAATAGTGGAAATGTTCAATTTGAATTTTGTTAGTGTTTTTTTTTTTTTTTTGAAAATAGGCAATGGGAATTTTGTTAGTGGTGGGGCTTTAGGCAACGTGGCCAATATCAAGCCAAATCTAACCGGGGTTAGAGAGCACCAACCAAGACTAATTAGTTTGGCCTGGCTTTGGCGTGGCCGGGGAGATCTTCAACAGTCTATTCCCCGTGGCGAAGCTTGGGTCATTAAGCAATAATCATCCCCATTCCACCACCTAACTCGCGTCAAGCCTAGCCACCAAACCAAACCGGAAGGTTCTGCCGTTGACCATTTTGCAAACTTCTGCAAACAAATATTAAAAACAAGAAAAAAGAAGTTTATTTATTCATGTATATCATAATTTAAATAATTTAATAATAATTTGTTAATAAAATAAAATATTTTAAAATTAAGTTGCATGGTAAATAAGTGAGATAAGTTAAAATAATAATAATAATAATTGTTTTCCTACTATGCTATCCAAAATTAAAAAACAGTAAAACTATTTATACACTCATTTTTCATCTGACCTGTTATCGTACAGATGGTTACCATTCCCATGGTTTGTTTGCGTAGATGATTCGAATTTGAAAATTTTTTAATCTAATTAGCATATTCTTTATGCCCAAAGCCAAAGCGTTATTGGCTAAATAGATTGTTACATAATAAATTTTAAACATTTTGGTATGACGTATGCTAAATCCTATGGTCCAACCGAGTTTGTAACCAATTAAATATAGGGTGTAATTGGAATGGCGGTTGGGTTATATATATATAATTATATAGTATTTTTAAATATATATAGGGGTTAGTGCTTACCCGTCTTGCCTTCAAAAAATTAAGAGAAAAAAAAAACAAAAAACACCCTTATGCATGCTTTAAAGATATGATATTTTAATCTTTTTCAATATGTGTTTATTAAAATGATGTAGTTTTAGAATAATATTTTTCTTAATTTTTAAAATATAAGGCGAATAAGTACTATTCTCATATATATATATATGTTTAATAATTTTTTAGACTATATTTTTTAAATTATAGAAATTTATAGTAAATTTGTAATAATTATGTATATAATTAGAAATTTCATTTTAAAACTTTTTTATTGTGATTTTTACTGGCAACATTTAATATTTAATATAATTATAAAATTACACATTAAAACTCAATCTTATTTAATTCAATTATAACACAATTTATAATATTTTATTTAAATTTAATCTGTTATTTATTTGAAAATTTTCATAAAAAATAAAAATTTATTCTGTCTTTATGAGTTATTATCTCATAAAATCTTAAAAAACATTCATCATAAAAAACTTAAAAATTTTAAATTATT